ATTATATCGGTACATGCATTATGTATAGGTCGCGCGCACTGCTTGCAACCTACATATTTGATAATGCTTAGTCGGAGACTGAGTCGTTAATTGTACCAGAACGACGAGCTTAAAATAAATAAACCGAAGCGAATAGAACTCGAAATTTATTTACGCGCGCGTATACCGACGCGAATTTCTTTACGTACGTCTACTCCTCGATTTTCAACATCCATTTTTATACAACATTTAAGCCTAGCACTAAAATAAATTTCTACCATTGAAACCGGGTATAGGTGGAATTCAAATTGGAATTTATTTCGTTGCTTTTAAAGTTGGCATAAACTATGATTCAAAAACGCAGATCCTGCGGGAGCCTGTGTAATAACGAAGTACGGTTGTATAATCATAATAATAACGTCCATAATTTGGCTACGAGTGTTGCATCGCGTGCATCCGAAGCTCGTCTACGTTAATTTGTTAATTAGCTCGTTCTCCTCAGTTTCTGGCGGATTTCGATTCGCCGGAAACCGAGCTCGAGGCTTCCATTTATTCTCCGCACTTCGTGAAATGTATATACACGTTGTTTATTTGACTAAAATTTCCTCGACGATATTTAGCAATTATTCGTCTCCTTAAATAGTTTTTTTTTTTTTTCGTAAGGCCGACTCCTGACGAAGAGAAATCTGTAGAAGATTCTTATACTTTTTCAAAGATTCGAAAGTTCAAAGGTTCTCGTACAAAGGTTCGCAATTTCGTATCGTTTCCTTAAGAGACACTTAAGTGTCCCTCCTTCCTCTTTAATACAGCTCATTTGTCAGACGTGCAAGCATCCACAAAGAAACAACTTTTATTACAGATTTTTTACTCAAAGGGAATAATAACAGCCACCTTCTGCATACATTATTAAAATCTCTGCTTCGAGCACAATATCCATCAACGGGGGGCTTAGAAAACCGCTCCAAGAGTTCAAACAACTTAACTTCCAAGGAACTTTTAATGCAACCATTTACACACAGAGACATCATACTTTCAAACGAAGGGATACTCCGAATCGCACTCGACATTTGATGGAAAAGGGCCATTAATCAATTACTACATCGGTCACGAACATACAAATTCTACGCTTTCCATTAACCCTTTGACGTATGTACACGCCCTCGAGAAATATTCTCAGAGAAATATTTATATTCGTCACATCACTTTTTAACAAATATCAGTTTATAGGGAATCACGAGTCGAAACTTTTTTTATATTTACAGTTTGTTCATAGGACACATAGTTTCGAAAATAGAAATCGAAAAGTTAGAAGTTCGTTGTGAAAATTAAATGTCAGGAAAAAGGTCTTCCAAGTTTTCAATTTTTATCTCTGAAACTAAACGTTCTATGAATAAACTGTAAATATAAAGAAAGTTTCGTTTCGTCATTCTTTATAAGGTGGAATTTTTTTTAAATTCGATCGTTCGACCGTTGTTTTATTTTCTTCGAGACAACAACAACAGTATCAGACCACTACGACATCCCAGAAAAAAGGTCTGCCAAGTTTCCAATTTTTATCTCTGAAACCAAACGTCGTGTGAATAAATTCTAAACATTTAAAAGTTCCGTCTTATCGTTCCCTATAAGCTGATATTTTTTTTTTCAATTCACACCTCTACGCGTCTTAGAATTTCCAGCGAAATCGTCACGCAGTCAACGTGTTAAGAACCAAACCCGCGTCTAAAAATAATTCTAGCAAACATTTCCACAAATTAAGTAGCCTACCTTCTCCCCTCGCTGTATAAAGTATAATTGCGCGCAATTTCATTTGGATTGGACGAAAACTAAAGAAACACGCGAACTGCAAATTTCGCATCGCCAACCAGAGGCCGCGTTCACCGTCGAAATCTTTCGGCTGTTTCGTGAGTGCCTTTCGTCTCGCTGAAAGGAGTCGACGAACATTTAAACTTTGATTCGGGATTTCGGTCTAGACAAGAACCGAGGCCATTCATTCCGGCGTTCTTTCTGTCGGCCACGACGATATCCACCGCTTCGTTTCCCATCTCTCGCGGAAAGGAGCGCGCGCCGGTGGTCTTGGTTCGCGGATGTCTGGGAACTGCGGCGAATTTAATAACTCGAGTTCGGAGCAGCTTTTCGGGACGAGATGAAGTCGAACACGTACGAACATATGTAAGACTGTCGAGTGGGAGTTTATGCGAAGGGTAGTTTGGAGCGCGTGCGCGCGTGTGCGTTTGTACGTGGAACGGGAGGGTTTAACTTATTCGAAAGTGCTGGCTCCGTAGTTTGGCCGGATGAAGCATGAGCATCCGAGTTGCGAAACTCGTTATGTATAAATAAAAAGAGTCCTCGAAGGCGGAGTTGTTTGTTCGTTGCAAACTCCGAGCGCAAATATCGCGAAACAGAAAATTCTACATAAGGCAGCGACTTGACAAATTTTTAGACCACGCTCGAATACAAAAGCGAAAAGGAGTTCAATTGTTGCTGTATTAAGTGCCACGAAATTGATCGTATTTGTGATTTAAGATTGAATTGTTCGGTTCAAACGAACACTTCTGCGCTGGCCGAACACGTTTCTCGAGTCGAGTGAAACACTTGGTATGCACCTAAATAAAGACGCATCCTTCGACGTCAGTCTGACTGTCAGTTAGCGCTGGGTTTCGAGCGTCAAAGCAATTGCCATCGGGGAGTCCTCGCCATTTTGGATGGCGCGTCGACTGTCACCGAGATCCCCGACGATCGGGAATTTAAATATCTCGCTTCCGCCAGGACTTCCGGACGACCTAATTTAATTGACGCGGACCCGCGGCTGTCCATTCCGGAGGAAAAAAAAAATTGTATCAAACCTGCAGGAAAAATAAATCATTTACTAATTTTGAAAAGACGATTTAGGATAACTTTTACGGATCTCGTTGATAATATAATTAATTTTCCAGATAATTTCTCTGATATTCGACACCCCCGTCGTCTTTGTAAGAGATATTTAAATTTGTAAACCGACGTGCATGCATTCGACGTTCTCCATGCAATCGGGACAAAAATAATCGTAACTGAACACGTTGGTATTGCGTCAGAGTTGACCCCGTTGTGGAATTCGAAAGGTTAATTTCGGAGACAAGATCGCTGTATTCATCGTTGTCGTTAAAAATTTTTAATTAAAGTTCCTGTATTTAATTGAATATTTATTAACGTTCCTCCCCGATGCAGGCGGGTTCGATTCAAATAACCGTGCCACTTTTCCGACAGACGTACTCGATATTTACGAAATTTCAATCCAAAGTAAATCTCTATCCGTTTATTATCCATTCTTTAAATTATTCAAAATCGACGGCTAGATTAATTTCAACCATCGTTACTCCGCGATCCTGTACGATATAAAAATATTAAAAAGGAGTTTCGCGAATTCCAAGTATTTTTTTTTTCTACGCAACAACGATAACGCGCGTAGAAACGATCGTCCACTAATTAGCGCGCTTTGTTTTCATCGGAATTTCGAGAGGGACAAGGTGACCGAGCACGCCTAAACCGAAGGCACGTTTCGCCGGGAAAATTTGCAACTAAATAAGCCGGGTTGCAGCAAGTCGTCGACGGTAAGTTTCGTCTTGGCGCGAGATGAACTTTCGACGGCGTAAACGCGACGACGCGAGGCGATACTAATTACCATCTCAGGCATCGCGGCACGGGGCAACAACGGGGATTAACTTTGCTTTAATTGCTGGTTTTAACGAGGAAAGGACAGGGACACGGTAGGAAACGTTGCTTACGCGATAGAAAGAAAGGACGAGGAGCGGCGTGCAGAGACAGGGAACAGTTGGCGTATTCGGAACTGATTAACTACACTCGGAGCGATTATTCGAAACATTAATTAACGAGTCTGTGACGTAAATAACGAAATGCGTTTGCAGATTCACGATCGTAGACACTGATTTCTGGTTTGAAAAATGCGTGCAGTTTTAACGAGTAGTTTTACTCTTTACACGAAGAAACTTTGTTGATTTTTAAGAAATATCTTAGGTAATTTAAAAGAAAAAGATATTATTAAAGTGTAATAGTATCATTATATTCGTTATTTGAATAGGTAAAATTCTGATAAAACTGCGCTATATAAACAGAAGAAAATAATACTTCTCGATAAATTATCACACGTGTCCAAAGAAAACAACCTTGCCCTACTCGGTAGAGTATCGTTCAAGTCACGGTTAAAGGCGTGCATAGTTCACTGCCAGATCGTCCAGATTCCACGCGACCTGGGATGACTATAAATCTCGGTTTGACATTGATTCGGGAATCATCGGGAGATGGAGTGGTCGAAACGACGTACGCGGAATGCAAATCCGAAGTCAGACGCGGACAGACAGAGTATACGCGGAGATTAACCGTAATGGCGGATGAGAATTGCGTGATTTATAGGTCGGCAGCCTCCGACCCGAGAGGAGCAGTCCGAACAGAATACCACGAAAATTCTGGGGGCTCTTAGCCCGTCAACGTTTCAACGTGGTTAATGGAAACCTTTGCGCGAACCTTGCCCGGGAGAAACTGCTCCCGTTAATGAAACGGACGATAGGAGGACTTAGACAAATGCAAAATCGTTGTCTTCCGTCTCGGCAGGGCTGACCCAGGTCGCTTTGACGGCGTTCACCTCGACGGAATGTGTATTTTAGCGCGGGTACCGCTGGTCTGTCCAAGGGTGTGTCTCGTTCCGAGAAATTGTTTGTGATTCTCGTGTAACTCGTACGATTTTTCATGAATTCTTAGACTCGCGTTTTAAATTGTTCGTGTTTCGGAAGGAAGTACGAGCCACTTGGTTAGCGAAGATATTAATTCTAAATACTATTATAAATTGTTCAATGGAGTACTTCCTTCCGAGGAATAATAATTTATGATCCTTGTTCGACTATACAATTTCGCTCTGACCCGAATGAAATTTCTATGAACTTGAGAAATACACGCCCACTTCCTTAATAATAAATTATGAACGCATCGTAGAGCAATACATTAACACTGAACCTTTTTTTCTGTTGCAGGTAAGAAACTCTTGTAATTCATGTCTAACCTGGAGGCTGCCAAAGCACAAAATCCCTTCAAGGAGTAAGTAGATACAACAGCAATCATCCACTATCAAAATCAATCTATACCACTATATCCAACCCCTCGAGTGCAACAACTTCTATTCTCGACCCCAACGAAGATACAGCCCAATCCTGTCTAAGAGACGCGCCTCACCTCGACCTTAAAAAAAGAGAACCATCTACGCGGTACTGTATTCAAACGATCCCAGCCCTCGGAGCTCGAAAACTCTCCCGTTTATCGATCTTACAAGCACCCATCATCTCGAACTAACTCGCAACTCCGTCCGAAATTATTAATCCCATCTTACGAGGCAAAGTACCCGCGCGTTCGAAATTTACACGGCCGGATTCCACGGACGCGTTCGTTGGTCGATGGCACGATTTACGCGACGGCTCGCCACGACACGCGTTAACTAGTTGCGCGAACAATGTGGAAATTATAATCCACTTAACGAAGATCCGGACTCGTTAGAATTTCATTAGGAGCATCTGCTGCGACGACGACGTTGCCTTCGGGTTATCCCTAACGAGGCCTGATTAAACAAGTGACTACACGCTGCCCGGTCAAGGCACCAGGAGCCCAGGGATACCTTAAAACTGGAGACTGTCCGCGAGGAAGAAGCAAATAGAAAGGGGAATGAGGCGAGAAAAAAAAAGGCGAAGTGGAGTCGAGAACAATGCTTCCTAGATGAAAGAGTTTGCAGGCCCCGGGCCATGGGCTTCTCTATATTCCGCTTCCTCTGTGCCCCGTACCTCCCTGCCTCTGGATGCTGAAACACTCACAATTAGTCAAGCGAATTGAAACAAAACAGCGAGCATCGTTTTTCCCGAGTCCCTTTGAACGACCGAGAACCTACCGTCTGCGGCGGTGGTTCTTAACCCTCTTCCAGTTCACTTCTCGGTTCACGCGAACCTCCCATCTTCTTTTTGCTCGAGTCTATAGTCCATAGTCTATATCCATAAATATTCGTACCCTCATATGGCTAACAACTATATTCATCAAGGAATCAAATAAATTTAGTCCGAAATCGAGGCGTTAACAAAAATAAATCTGGATAGAATAGACAAAATTCGCTCATCGAATCTGTCGCCAAAGATTCGCAGGACGGTGGTTACGAACCGCCGAGTGTAAAGGCGAACGAAAATGTTTGCTCCGATGCGTTGTTCCCCGATGTTCGCCGCGAATGTACGACACTGCTCCCGGTGTTTCGTGGAATAACTTGCTCGGACATAACGCCGTGTTGTTTCGAGGAATTAAGGTTCGCTCGGGTTAGCTCTGGTGCTTTGTAAAGGCGAGGGATTACCTGAGATTACGCGTGTAGAATGGAAATATTATACTTGGAAAAAGAGATTTCCGCGTATTCATTTCTGAGATGTGGAACGCGTTGTAAAGGTAATCACTTGTGTGGAGACATTCTAATGCAAACGTCTAAAAACAGAGGCTCCTTTGAGAATCGAAAACGAAAAACTGCAAGCTGTAATAAATAAACTACGGTAATAAATGATTTGATATTTAATGATATCCGTAAGAGATATACAAAAATTTTGGTGTCATCTATCGTCAATATTCTGAGAACAAATTTCTTTTACGTTAAATACAAAATCATTTATTAATGTACATATAATAATTCTCTTTTCGATTCCCACACAAGCCTCTCTTTTTGGATGGTTTCCACTCTTTAATAAACGAGAGCACCAATCAAATACTCGCGCATTCAAAGTTAATCCGTACCATTCGAACGCCTATAAAGTATTCAACTATAAAATAACTCGAACGTCCTGTTGCTATACCGAATCAATCCAACATAGCCAGCCATAGCCGAGTCTCGTGGCATCGGTTCTCAGACACTCGCCACCGCTCGTTGAAATCAGCCAGACGATAGGCCGTCAGTATTTCCGCGTCAGCTCATTAGAGCGAGTCTCATAAAATCGTAGAAAATTCCTCCAGACTCGATATTCCATGGCTGTCCCCCGAACAGCGAGAAAGAGCCACTCGTTCGCCCTGACTGGCAGCACATTCACGCGTCTGAACCCATGGCGAAGAGCCATTCCAATAACCGCGTGCACCGAGCTCCAATAACTGTACGGCTTATCCCAATATCGTTCCCCAACCCCCCACCTGTCTCTATGATCTTTTTCCTCCGTCCGACGTATCGAGCCACGAGAATTTTTTCTATTTTATTTAACGAGTTCATTCGCCGTGTAGAAAAAAGAAATAACGCGCACGGGCCTGCAATTTTATTATACGGAACGTTAACAAATACACGTGCTCTTCTTTCGAGTGGCAGATCTTCGCGTTAATAAACGAATCGAAGAGTCCTTTAACATTTCGCGATCCGAGACTTCGTTACCGTGGAGCAGACGAAGTCCACAGGGGTGAGCTCTGGCGCTCAATATTCGCTGCTTGAAAATCACCTGAGAGCCCGTATTAATAAAGTTTAGACTAGACACTACGAGATCATTCGTATATAGTTAGTACAAGTCAGACTTGTAAATTTCATCTGCCTAATATCTCTCTTCATCTCGATAACGAACGGACTTTTAACACCCTGTACATTGGGAGCAGCGTGTGACGAATACCAAAAGCGTCTTCCGAAAATTGTCGCTCAATTTTTAATAAATACAAGGAGCAGTACTCCAAGCGTATTCCCGATGGGTTCGATGACGAACGGTTTTCCGAGCGACAGGGAACGTCCCAGGGAATTGTGTCGCGCGGGATATATATGTACAGGGGTTCTAACCACTCAAAAAATATTATACGTTTCCTCGATCTACCATACCGCGATAGCCGCGTATCGCCACCTCGGTGTTTCGATTTCACGGGCCGATGTGTGTTATTCGAAACGAGCGCAACTATCCGCAATTTTTCAGAGTGCAGCACGACCGAACGCGGAAACCCGAGAAATCGATTTTCGAGCTCTTTCAGCTCTGCTCTCCTTTTTCGGAGAAGAAAATGGGTATTTTTATTTATATCAGCACACATCAAATTTAGACAAGAAATAAAAAATAGCCGATCTCCCTCGATAAAACAATTACGAAGCCCCCGTCTAACGTTGTTGTATCGAGGAGTTACCGAACCACCGCTTTCGATTCCGCTACGTAAGCGCAGCCGGAGCAACCCTGAAATAGACGATTAATTAAACGCAACTCGGCGGCTCTAGCGTCGTCCATTTCGTTGGTTACCGGTGCGCGAGGATGTTGTTTACAGAGGAGCATCCTTAAACGTGGTCCCACGACTTCCTCGTACGGTGGTCGGTGAAAGGCCATTATGACGACAATGGCTCGCCATGGGTAATAGCTCGGCCAGGAATTTAATTATCATTTTAGGCGGCGCGGAGAGCAATTATCGGAAATTCAGTTTGCAATGGCCAATGGAACCCCGATCTCGACTAAACGACGACCGCCACTACTTCTGTACACCTGCGAAAGAGCGAGCTCATTAGGAAGCACTTTTCTCGACGATTACGCGCGCTTCCAAACGGACCGAACGGGTTGTACGCAGTTTAAGGCGGACGTTCAAACAAATTAGGCAAGAATCGTTGAGTCGAGCGACCGCAGTCGCGATTTTATTTAAATTTTTCCAACGTACATTTACTTGACCCCATGCCGTCGTCGTCATTGTTATTGTCGTATATATTTGTTGGGCGCGATCCTCGTCGTTGATGTCGTCTTTCTCATACTTATTGTCAGGTGTCATCATGGTTGCTGCCAGTTTCACCTTCGTCATCGTTATTAGCATAGTCAGGGTCGTCGACATACACCTGAATGGTACATTTATTCTACCTACATATTATACAGTACTTAATGCAATAGTCTCGTATTAACTCTCAAGTTAAATTTAAATAAAATATAATAAATACTATAATTATTTCACAGTACCATTTCGCGTATATCGACCACACGTCACGTGCTCCCGCGGAATAAGATAGTCACGCGACGAAAGTAACGTATTAAAATAGATCCGAGGTAATTGACGGTCGAAAATATGATAAATAATTACGGAGTCGCGATGTTTAAACGCGATCCAACGAAAAAAGTTCGCGCGGACATATGACCTATTTCGCATTGTCTCCAAGTTACAGGCCAGCTTTGTGCTCCAACAGTTCTGAAGCTGGTGTAGCTGATTCTATTGAAATGTTTACGAACAACGCTTTGTATCTCGTGTATGACCTTATTCTTCTGTATACAGAATGTGTTCTCCGTAGCGCGCCTCGTAACCGTGCTACGGAGTCGTCGGAGTTCGTTCTCTTCGGAAGAATGGATATTTTACTTACGTCACATTGTAAACGCGAACAGTTGGACACGTTCAACGAGCCATTGTTCGTCGGCGACAGTAATTACATTTTGTCCAAACCCCCGTGTCGATAAATAACGACGAAGATAGTTTACGAGGCAGCTTTCGGGGAAGTTCGCGGAATTAAATACACTTCGTAATCTGTTTTACCGTTTGCTAAGGCTGGTCGATCGAACTTTGGAATGTGAACCGATCTAGATACAGTGTTGTTATTTATGTCTTCCAAGGACCTTTTGGAAGTGCGCCTCGGCGTACAATACATACCGATGATAATATATTATCGATACTCGCCAACGTCAGGCTCTGGTTTATCGGCGAGGAAATAGTTGATTATTTTTAAAAATTAAAAATAATCTTCCGTGGCGTTCGAGTGGCTGTGTACACAAAGCAGAAAGAAAAAGTAAAAGTCCCGTATCTTTGATACTTTTAGAATTAAAAATTAATTCCTCGTTAGGAAAACGTAGAAGCTTCATATTTTTAATATTTTTAGAATTAAGAGTGAATTCGCCCTCACAGAAATGGTAAATAGTTACGAGCTTCTCGAACCTGTACTTTCTAAACTACAACGAAATTAATAATACGATGACTTAAACCCCTCTTAATTTGGTATGGACTGCAGCGTATTTCAATATCATCGAAAATCCCCTGGGGGGTTTCAGTCACACCCCTCCCCTCAGGCCTGAGGCCAATGAAATCTTAATTCGACCCTGGAGGGGTCACCAGCC